ATGGCAAATTCTTGATCTTCACGCTGACGCATTATTTCGGTGAGCTCGAAATATCGAAACTGATCCCAAAGCGGAGTTCCTGTATTTGCACTGTAATGATCATTGCCATTTGGTGCAAATATCCATCGATCTCCTACTGGTGGCAACTGTTTTAAGTCACCAAACACGATAATTGGAATGCCTCAAGAGTAAGCACTGCTCCTAAAAATTGGCTTTAGCCTACAATCTAAATACGCAAACATCTTTGCTCCAACCATTGAAATTTCATCAATTATAATAAGCCTATCTATCTATGAGATTAGCATGAATATTGTTCAATGTGTCACTATTGAGGGGCCGAAGATCGACGGTGGACTGGTTGACGGGCAGTGAAAAAACGGAATGAAGTGTTAGACCTCCAATTCCAAATGCTGTTTTGCCAGTTCGTGCGCAGACTAAGACCTTGGCTGTTTCGGGGTTAGTTCCTGGTACACTGTTAGCGCGCAATGTCAAACTGATATATAGTCGTTATAAGCCAGGTTTTGCCCACTCCAGCACCACCTCCGACATATTCGTAGAAGATTTTCTTCTTACTGACATTGTGCATTACGTGAGCAAAATATTCCCTCTGCTTGTTGTTAAGAGATTGTATCGTTGCTAGTAAATCTCCTTCTAATATGAGAGATGGTAGTTTAATTAATCGAACCGTCTCTTCCACACAATTGTTGTCCTCGTGAAAAACATTAACATCTCCTAATTGCTCTTGAACAGCTAGAGCTCTGAATTCGGGATCCGAAAGTTGAGAGGCAGCTCTCTCATCGGCTATTTCTTCCACTGAAMCATGCAGGTTTTTTAGATTCCGTTCTAGCTCGTTGGATAAACATTGGTCATATTTGAGCTTATTCTGCTCAATTTGCTCCTTGTGTGCGTTGCAAACACTCTCGACATCATTACTTAAGAGCTCGGCCTCCTTATTTCTTCATGGGTAAAACATCATGGAAGTTTCTCTAAAGATCAGCTCTTGAATTTTCAACGCTAAWACGTTTCCAGCGTAGAATAAGTGATTGCTTCCTTTTCCTTAAAAATCCTGATCCAGCCTTCCATGGCTTGCCTCAGTAGTGTTGATACTCCTCTATTGGATTTATTTCTATAATTAATTATATAGCTGCAGCAAGCGTAGACGTCCAAAATGGATATTAAGGATATTTTTATTGTAGGCATTTAGAAGTCTGTCCGAAAATTTTCTCTTTAAGAAAATGTGTGGCTATTTTACAGATGAGCGAAGAGCAAGCTTGTATCCTTCATAATCAATGTTAACTCGCTCATCCGCCAAAAAATTTTCAAAGCAATTATTTTTATAAATTGAAGTTTGTGTTGC